GTGCAGTTGGGGTGTCCGGTCAGAAGAAAAGGGAGTACAATCATCACAAAGTCAGACAGGGTTAAACTTTTGTGTTTTGAGACAATCACATGGGGTTGCATATGGTGAGTGGAATGGGTACTGCAGGTGATGGTAGCATCCAGGTGAGAAGTGATGTTCACTTGGCCTCCTTCTTACCCCTCGTAGCCCTTTAGGTAGCCTAGGACAGCAATGACCTCTCTCTTGAGCCTTCTCTTCAGGTTAAATACTTAAGCTCCTTCAGTCTACAGCTGCCTTGAGTTTCCTCAGCATCTTCTTCACTCTCCTCTGGACAGTTTAGCTTGTCCTCTTAAAATGTGTTGCCTGGAACTAACTCTAATAGTCGGAGTGTTCTTTGACCAGCCAGAGTAGAAAGAAGTGTCATTTTCCTTCTTCCACTGACATAGCGACTGAACCACCTTTTCCTTCTCAGTTGAGCTTCAAGTCTTTGAGCCACACCACTAGTTCTATGGTCAAGGAACACCTTGCTCATTCTCTGCTTGCATCCTAGCTACCGCTATTTTTGTTGTTGTTTTAACTGACATGTTGGGCCATGTATTCATTCCAATTAAATTCCATCCTGTTGCCTTTGGCCCATTGCCCTAGCTTTTGCAAGTTTGAAAGGAGATACAATGTAGTGGTTAAAAGCTGGGGTCCAGCAAGCAGACAGTCCTGGCTCAAATCCTGGCTCCTTCTCTTACTAGGTGTGTGATTTGGAGGTATTGTTTAAGTTATCTAAGCCTAAGTTTACTCATCAAGGAGATGGTGGTAAAAAGAGTACTGCTCTGCTAGTCAGTTTCTGTTCAGTAATAACAAACATTCTCAATTTTCAATGGTTTACAGAAACACACATTTATTTTTGTACTCATGGATCTGCAGACTGGCTGTGATTCTCTGCCTGCTCTATTGCTACAATATCACATGGCAAGGTGGAGGATGCAGCAACCTTATAATCAGAAGACAGAGAAAAACTTGAAATAATCTTATAATTACTCATCACTAGTTCTGTAAAGGAATCCCCTTTATGGGGCTATTGTGAAGAATACCTGGGTCTCGTCTATGAAGAGCTTAGTATAGTGACCAGCACAGAGTAAACATGCAGTAAATATCAGCAGTCGTCATTCAAAGCTGTCACCCAAATCCTTACCATCTTTTCCAGATTGGGGTCATCCACAGGCAAACCTGTCCTATATAACAAGGGAAATCCCTTGTAACTAATGTAACTCCGTCCAGGCTGATGCAGAAAAAGTAGCAGCTCTCTGACTCTACCAGGAACACAGGGAAATGAGCAGCAGGTAAAGAAAAATGGCCAACCGCAAACAGGCAGAGACTAAATCAGGTAACTATGCCTCAATTAGGTTTCTGTGACCTGAAGACCATTTCTTGTAGGAATACCATGGATATATGGAGAAAGGGCGGGCCTTTGAAAATTTAAAGAATATTTCAGAATTTTGCCATTAAGATAAAGAAAAAGCTTCTCATAGATCACCTAGAAAACTTTTTTCCAACTAGAATAAAGGACTTTTTTCCAAACTAGCAAACAGGCAGGGGAGAAAAAATGACTTAACTCCCAGATTAAAAAGAATTTTCTCCCACCAGCTTGTTTTTGAGGTACCATCTGAATGTAAGCACTCTTGGGTAGTTCAATGGAAATGTCTATGACAGGAGATCAGATTTTTCAATACAACTGTCACTCTTTCATTTGTATATAGAAAGTAATACATAAGCATATGAGTGTTCACTGTCATTAGTTTTCAAGGAAATCCTAATGAGAACCACAGTAAAATACTGCTGCACACCCACAGATTGGCTAAAATGAAACAGATTGGCAATACCAAGTGAAGGTGAGGATGTGAAGCAACTGGGATTTTTAAACACATCCTAGTAAGAGTGCAGATTTATACAACCACTTTAGAAAACTATTTGAAAATAACTTTTAAATCTGAATATACACATACCCTATGATCCAGCAATTTTACCCCTACATATACACCTCTCAAACATGCTTACGTTTGTGCACCAAATAACATGTGCAAGAATTTTCAAAACAGTTATTCATAATAACTCCAAACTGGAAGCAATCCATACGTCTATCAACAGTGGAATGGATCAATAAAGTATGTGATGCATGTATCAATGAAAATGAACAAATCGCTGCTACATGAAACAACATAAGTGAAAACCATAAATACAATATTGAGTAAAAGAAGTCAGATGTAACAGACTACATGTGTAGGACTCGATTTATATAAGGCTTAAAAATAGGTAAAAGTGACCTCTTCGTTAGGAGGGATAATAATTCCCTATGGAGATGAAGGAAGGGTAGAGAAGGCAGGATGCCCAAAGATATTCTGTGTATTAACCTGGGTTGTAGCTATATGGGTAATGTGGACCGAATTGTATCCCCTAAAAGATATGTCTAACCAGAACCTCAGAAGGTAACCTTATTTGGAATAAGGGTCTTTGCAGATGTAGTTAAAGTAAAGATTGAGATGAGATCATCCTGTATTAGGGTGGGCCTTAAACCCAATGATGGATGTTCTTAGAAGAAACAGAAAAGAAGAGGCAGAGAGCAGAGAAGGCCTGTGAAGATGTAGGCAGAGACTGGAAGGACGCGGCCACAAGCAAGGAACTCCTGGAGCCCCTGGAAGCTGGAAGAGACAGGACGGATTCTCCCCTAGAGCCTTCCGAAGCAGTGCAGCCTTGCTGAGATGTAGGTCTCAAGACTTCAGGCCTCCAGATCTCTGAGACAATAGATTTCTATTGTTTTAAGCCATCATATTTGTGATCCTTTATTATAGGAGCTCTGGGAAACTAGTACAGATTTGGGTACTGGGAAGTGGGGTGGTACTATAACAAATGCCTAAGAATGTGGAAATGGCTTCAAATTGAGTAATAGGCAGGAGCTAAAAGAATTTTGAGGCACATGATAGAAAAAGCCTGGGTTGCCTTGAGGAGATGGTAGAAATAGGAACTTAAAGGTTGGTTCTGGTGAGAGCTCAGGAAGAAGCACAGGGCATGGAAGAGGAATCTTCCATCATTTTAGAGAATATATATGTTGCCATAAACAGAATCTTAAAAGAAATAGTGAACATTTAAAGTACTTTTTGTGAGGAACATGCTTCTAGAAACCAGGAGAAGAGCAATCCATGGTATGTATTGTGAAAAAAACTTAGCTGAACTGAGTTGTGTTGGGTGGAAGGCAGACTTTGAATATTTAGCTGAGGAAATTTCCAAGCAAAGTGTGGAAGATACAGCCCTGTCTCTCTTTGTTCCGTATAGTAAAAGCTGAGAGGAAACAGATAAATCAAGGAAGAAACTGCTGATCAGCAAGGAACCAGCACTTGATTTGAGAGGTGGCTGGCCTGTCCCGATTGCAGAAGATGCTAAAGTTAGGAAATCAGTTCAACAGGTGTGCCCACTTTGGGGTCATTCATCAAGCTGGCACATACAGGTTACATACTTTTACATATGTGTTACACTTAAAAGCTTTCTTTTGGAAGAGCAATAGAAGCTCATGGTTGAAAATTAGAAAATAAATGAGCAAAAATAAGCAAACAAAAGAATTATCCATGTTTCCAATACCCAAAACAACCCCCGTCAATATTTTATATGTATCTAGATTGTCTTCTACATGTTTTTATATTTCTACATATAGTTTTGCCAAAATGGGATCTTATCACAAGTTCTGATCTATTGGCTATTTTTTCTCTTATCAGTGTGTTTACTGGTGATCAACTTTCCAACAAATATACTCTATAAGATCATTCTCAAGGGTTAAGAAGATGATATTTTACAGGTTTACATGAATTTGCGTTATTTTATGTGAATGTCTTTTTAAAAAAAAATTACTAAGGTATGTAGGCATTTATTAAGTAACAGTGAAAATCCTATTCCTCAGGAGTAATTTATTTAAATTTGCTTTTTTTATTACAAGCAAGATTAAATAAGTTCTCATATTTGTATTGAACATTTCTACTTCTTCATTGTGAATTGCTTATTTATAGCCTTTGCTCTTTTGTTTCTATTACAGGGGTTTGTTTTTTTTTTTGTCTGATGAACTTGAATAAACTTGATTCTTTACATTGCTGAATGTATTCATTTTCCTGTTAGTCTTATGTTACTAAAATTTTTCTGTTTTGCCACTTGCTTTTCATTTTACTTATGGTAAGTTTTTATGCATAATTTCATATTTAGGTAGTTACATATCTGAAATGTTTATGGTTTCTACCTTGAGGTTATGCCTGAAAAGACCTCTCAGGTATCCAGATTATATGAATAGTTAGCCAAAGTTTCTTCAGATGCTTTTATGGTGTGTCTTACATTTTTGGTTTTTGATTTTCCTGGACATTTTAGGTTATGGTAAGAAGTAAAGGACTGGCTGAATTTTTTAGATAAATATTCTAGCACGATCTATTGGATAATCCATCATTGCACTTTATTTTAAAATGCTCTTTTCCTTCACCTATGAAAAATAGACATAACCTTTTGGGCTTGTCTATTCCATTGTTCTATCTGTTGTATTTATTTGAAGCTTCTGCATCTTTATTTGAAGGCAAGTTTACATATCAATTTTGTATCTGTCAGTGTAAGTTTCCTGTCCAATACCTTTTTTTAAATATGTTTTTGCTATTCATTTGCATCTATTCTTTCAGATAAACTTTAGAAGTTACAAAGAAAAATCTATTTGCATTTCAACTGCAACTCCATTAAGTGTGTACAGTCCCCCCTTATTCACGGGGGATATGTTCCAAGACCCCCAGTGGGGGCCTGAAAACATGGATAACACCAAACTCTATATATATGACATTTTTTCCTATACATCTATATCTATGATAAAGCTTAATTTATGAATTACACACAGTAAGAGATGGACAATAATAATAAAATAGAACAATTATAAAAATACATTGTAATAGAACTTATGTGAATGTGGTCTCAAGGTCTCTGATGGTATTGTACTTACCCTTTTTCTTGTGATGTGAGATGGTAAAATGCCTACATGATGAAATGAAGGGAGGTGGATGACATAGGCATTGGTGATGTAGTGACAGGCTACTTACTACTGGCCTTCTGATGATTCGTCAGGAGGAGGACCATCTGATTCCTGACCATCGCAAGTAACTGAAATCACAGAAAGCAAAACAGAGGATAAAGGGGACCACTGCAGATTAATCTGGGGGAGAGCTGCCATCTTCTAGCAAGTACAGAATATTCAGGAACAGAAATGCTGAGCATCTGGGGAAACAGTAAGAAACACAAATACTTGACTGAAGAGAAGCATTCCTCTGGAATCCTGTAGGAGCAGAGAGACAACACTGGTTCATTAGGTTGTGACCAGATACATTTACATTTCTCTTGGGAGCAATACAAAGCACTGTTAAGGAAAATTAATCTCAAAAACATGCATGCCCTAAAGAAACTGGAGAGACACAGGATGCCAGAGACTGCCAGGGGCCCCCTGCAATGGTTTGGAGGCAAAAGGAATAGAAAGATTGCAAGAGTTGGGACTTGGTGCCTCCTCAGGCTGAGGGAAGAGGGCAGGGGCCCTTGTGATAGTGCTTCTATCCGACAGGGAGAAGCTGCCTCCAGGAACCCACAAAGGCAGGAAGTAGCTTCGAAAAGGCGAGGGAGATGCCCAATTCCGGTTTAAACAGGCTGAGATGAAGGGCTGGCGTGCCTTCTAAGTGGAAATGTTATGAAGGAAGTTGAGAATGAGGATTGCAGAAAACACAGAACCTGGTGCAGAGGGAACCCTTGACCGATGTGTGGCACTGAATTGAGTAAGTGGTAGGTTTGACAGGACATGAGATCTGAAAATCATGCTGTGGAAAAGCAAAGATTCAAGAAGTCCCCCTTAACCTTGTGGAATACCACATTTGCAGGACAGAAAAAAAAAATAGAGTCAGAAAAGTAAGCAGATTAAAAGCAAACAAATAAGCAGTCAAACAACCCAGCGGGCAGAATGGTTGTAATTGTGAGCAAACACTACCGAGCACCATGCATCTCCAACAATGAACCAAGGTGAATGCAAATGCGTCCTCCCAATGTCATGTGGTTGCTTATTTAGATGGTCCTTTAAAAAAAAAGGTTTTCATGTCTCCTTCGTCTCTGTTCCTTGTAACAGTTCTGAGGGGGAGAAATGTCAGAAGTTTCTCACCAACGAGGGATGGCTCTAATTCAGGTAAAATTTGCACAGCCATTTGTACCACATTGCTTATATTTAAGGATATGGCTTCAGTTCTATACAGTCAGTGGGAAAGAAAGATAATAGACTTAAATAGTGTTGTCACAGGGACAGAAAGTCTAGTCACTGGCAAGTGTGGAGTGCTCACTGGTGTTTGTGGAGAAGCCATCACCTCATGGCTGTATGCACACAGTTATGTACGCAGAACACAGTGAACCACTTAAGGGATTTTCAAGGATAATTTTGATTGTAAGTGATTTTCAGCCTTGGCAATAACTTACAGATTCGAATCCTTTCATGACATATAACTTCACTATAAATTGGTCCTTTCACCTAATTTTTATCATGTCATTTTATTATACTCAAGTTGCATGAGGACATCATCTAAGCTAGATCTGGAAAGATTTCCAGGTGGAAACCTCACACAGATCACGTGTATGGGAAGGATTGCTGCTGGGACACACACTCAGGTCTTTTGCCTCAGGACTTCTCCATCACTACTACAGGGAGAATAATAGTGACAAAAATAATGGACTCTGGAGTCAAACTATTCAAAATTTAGCTCTACCATTTTCCATCTGTGTGACCTTGGAGAAAATACTTAATCCTCTGAGCTTCAGTGGTCCCGTCTATAAGATGGGGTTAAGAATAGTACCTATCCCATGAGACTGTATTTAGGTAATTGTTAATGACTTGGATATATGTGACAAGTTTAGAACACTGTCTGACCTATATAGATCCTCATTAAATACTGTTAATTTTAATTAGTACTCCACCTACTTTTCCAGCTGGGTAAGTGGTTAGATAATTTACTCAAATATATACAACTCATAAGTGGCTGAACTTAGACTCACAGGTCTTTTGACTAATTCATACTTTTTCTATTATTCTACATCTGTCCAAACATGCATAGACTCAAAGTAATGAGTTTGTCCAACTTGGGAAACAATACATATTTGGTAAAAATCAAGGCCTGCTTAATTCAATTTAATTTACTTTGTTTACATTTTGTGCAGGCTTATTATGGAACATGGTAGGCATATTTGCACATGCATACACACACACACACACAAATACTGTGTATGACTGACATGTTACTGATCAAGCCACTAATGATTGATCTGAAGTCCCTGGGAAGAGTGAAGAGCCAGTGCAACCAGTCAGTGACACAGGGCCTCATATATTGAGGAACTTTGTCACCACAGATTCCAAATCTAAAAATGAAACCAATAATGAGTACCATTTATTGGGAGTCTGTGCTATGCTATACTATGCTAAGCACTTTATAGATATTATCTCCAAAATAAGTCTCACTGTTCCTATTTTATCTAGGGGAAAATGGGGCTAAGGGAGGTTATAAATTATCTAAGGTCAACCTACTAGTAAGAGATGTAATAACTATCCAAGTTCGGTCTAACACCAAAGCCCTTATTCTCTCCTACCTCAACCAGACTTCTCCAACCAAAGCTAAGAAGAATTAAAGAAGAAATTAAATGGGTGGAATTTACAGATGATGAACTACTATAAAAGCCACTGTTGTGAACTTTTAAAAGGGAGAAAGCTAGCCAGTTGAACATTGGTTAAGGGAATGCTTTTTATAATGAGTACTTTTTCACCCTTATTTTTCATGTTGTCCCAAAACAAGAGTACAAAGGGTCAGTCCAAGTTCATGGCAGGTAAGTTTAGAAAAAAAAATAAAGAAAATATTTTTGCCTCACAGCATGGAGCCCCTCTATGGAATTCCATATTTGTAGCATCAGATTTCAGGGCTGTAGTTTTTACAGGCATTTGGTTTGATTTAATGCCCAACAACAATGCTGGCTGTTGACTGGGTGAAGATCAGAGTAACCAAGTCTTAGGCTTCAGGGCTTCATCTGCCTTCTGCAGAGGCCAAGAGGCAGTTTTCTTTCACTTTTGCCATCTGCCACAGAACCCAAGAATCCAGGGGTGCTCCCACTGTCTCATGAAATCACAGGTTCCCAGCATGACCAGTGTATCACTGACAACCTTTCTGACCATGGCAGAAAGTCTCAGTCCCCACAGAAGTAGCTAATCCAGTCATTGAAGGGTTACCCAGTCCAACCCCAGCCACAAAGTGAAAACAGAGCAGGGTCTTTGTTTATTGATTTGCCTGGACCCTCTGACTGGCAAAGGAAGGAAAAAAATAACCCAGCACAAAATAAATGTTCGATTTCTTTTATGTAAACAAGATTGAGACCAACTTGGCTGTACAAAGCAATTCTTTGCATGTAAAGCAAAAAATAGCTCCCCTGAGGAGGAAGGAACCCAAGCCCCACTCAACTCCCCCTCCCCTCTACCCTTCCCCCAACCTTTTTCTGTTACCACTGCTTTTCTGCCAATGAATGTCTTATTCAGGGTCCCAGCGCGGGAGTCACTGCAGGCAATGAGCTCACCCCCTCCCCACCACCCTATCCAAAATGTTTTCTGATCAAGATAAAGGCTATGGAGTCTATGCTGAAAGTCAGTATTATTGCAAATTATCTCCATAAAAAGGAAAAACTTTTATCCAAAAATCTCCTTCTCCTATTTCTTTCTGTGGGTCTCCAACCAGTCCCAAACCGCTTTTATGTGGGTTTAGAAGTGGACTAAAGGGAGACCTAAAAAAATGCAAATTCTTTTTTATCAAATACCCAAATGATGGATGGCAATTTGGATGTAAATCCCTTAAACAAGGGTCTTGAAAATTTAGTTCACCTTTGGGGACCAAGGAAGTTAATCCTAAATCCTTGTTCGATCTTTATTCACGCCAAACTCTGGTGACTTAAGCAAAATATCTGCCAGCTTGGATCACATGACTCGGCTTCACTAGCCAGTGTATCTATGGATAGGAACAGTTTAAGGAAAACAAGAATCTAGCTGAACCTTCACCCAAAACTCAACGCCAACACAAACGAAGATGCTCAAATTTCAGAAGACCTGATTTCCTGTGGAAAAAGAGGCTGCTTTTGCTTTCACATAGGTCCCGTTTTCTTTGTGCATTCAAAATGAAGCCTGGATATCTCTCTGGAAAACCTAGCTCCCTTACAGCCCAGTGACACCAAGGTAACTGGGCAGCGGGTATTCTGGGGAGAGGGTATTTGTAATGCTTCTACAGTCCCAAGTGTTAGGAGAGCATGTGGGCTCACGAAGTTCCCATGCTTACTGGTGTACTCAGTGAAGCCAAAGAAGAAAGAAAAAAAGGATTCTTACACCTGACTTGCTGATACTTCTCTGACTAAGAACCAAAATTCTAGGGGGAGGCCCTGAGAGCTCAGGAATGTCCACTGACCTGCAAAGCAGATGTGAGCATGCTTTTCCTGGATTTACTCAATACCCCCATGAGAAATCTTGCCCAAATACACTCAGAATGCTCCTAAGAACTAAGCCAAGACCGCGTGGGTCTTGTCAGTACTGTCTTTCCTTCCTGATCACTCATGCATGCTTTCATCACTTGGTAAGGAACATTCCAGAAACTTGAGTGGTCGAGTTATCACACAGGATGGGAGGGGATAGAGGCACACCCTCTCCTACCTAATTCTGCCCTTTCCAAACCATCCTGGTGCTCAGAGGAGAACTCTTGCGTGTGGAAAAATGCAGATGTAAGAAATAAACGAGCAAGTGCTACAGGCTCACATGGAAATTCCTGGTATGCTACCCATACAGCAACCCCAGACATTGAGGGAACTTGTGGCAAATCAACTTTTCTATCTGATTAACCTAATACAGTGAGCAACAGGAGCTATCAACAGAAATGTGTGCTGCTCACTAACTTGTTCACACAGGGCTGCATTCATAGCCTGCCTCATTCCACAGGGGATATGAGGTGCAATGACTTCATTCTCAAAGACTCATGTGAAGCAGTACATCATGGTCATTATTTTGACTCAAACAAAGGATTCAAAACTATGGGACAAAATTCGGGAAGCAATCACCACAG